CTCCTCCTCCTCCTCCTCCTCGTCCTCCTCCTTCCTCCTCTTCCTCCATCTCCATCTCACCTCCAGGAACCAGGACTGTTTGAGACCGATACAGTCAGCAACCAGCTACGATCCTCAGGAATCCTGGAGACCATCCGAATCCGCAAGGAGGGGTTTCCTGTCCGGATCCCCTTCCAAATCTTCATTGACAGGTGCAGATGAGCCCCCTGAGATCCTTAGTCCAAAGCTATTCCAGCCTAAGATCAGAGCTCCAAGACCCCCCCAGATCCAAGGCTCGGAGCTGAGAAATCCACCTTCTAATCCCAGTCCAATCTGTGTCTCCCCAGGTACCGCTGCCTTGTGGATATCCGTAGTGACATCATCCCGGACGGGTGGAATTCTGTGGGGGTGCTGAAGAAGCTGTGTCCGGTCACCCCAGAGATGTACTGCATTGGCACAACCAAGGTAAAGCCACCACCGTGGATGATAGTTTAATTGCAGTTATAGAACTTATGAAGAAGATACGAGCAGATAGTAGAGGGAGATTGCACAGTGTGGAGCCTAATCTTTAAAGAAGGGCTTGGTGGATTATTTTCAACTGAGTCCACTCACAATGTCTAGATGGACTTGGACATCAAGAGATGGTCTTTAGGTTCTCCTTTGCCAGGTCTTCTCCATCACCAACTGTTCCATCTGGCCACATACCCATAGGAACAACCCAACATTACTTTAACCCCTTCTTATTTTGCTTGTCCTTCATCTTCCCACCTTTCCCACCTTGGGCATCCTGTCCCTTGGCTCCCATTGCCAAATGCCAACCATTCCTTGGCAGAAAAAAGGGTCATAACGTCAGTGCCATCCCCCAATGCAGATGATGGACCGGTGGCCCCTTGGGTGTCTTCTTCTCCCCACCCATCTTCCTCTTCCAGCTCTTCATGAAGGAAAGCGTCTACCAGCAATTGGAGGCCAAGCGGGAACAGATTGTCCACATGGCAGTGGTGACCCTCCAACGTTACGTCCGCGGCTTCTTGATCAAGAAACGATTCTATGCCTTACGCTGCAAGATCATCCTCTTCCAAGCACGGGCACGGGGTTACCTTGTCAGGTGCTGAGTTTGACTGTCCCGGAGAGCCTGGCGGGTGGGTGGGGGGGCCTTGAGCAGAGTCTCTGTCCTGTGTGGACCTACCTGCCGTCACCCAAAGGCTTAACCCCTCCTCAGACTTAAGATTCTAATCCGGCAGAAGGTCTAATTCTCTGCCCAGCCAACCAAATTATTCTCTGAAGAACAGTTCTAGCCATGGTGGCCCAGTGCTTAGAGTGCAATATTTCAGGCTGACTCTGCCCACTGCCAGGAGTTCAATCCTGACCGGCTCCAGGTTGACTCTGCCTTCCCTCCTTCTGAGGTGGGAAAAATGGGGATCCAGAATGTTGGGGGCAAGAGGCGGGCTCTGTAAACCGCTTAGGGAGGGCTGGAAAGCATTGTGAAGCGGTAGATAAGTCTAAGTGCTAGTGCTATTGCTGTAGGTTCTTCTAAGTCCCTCTCATCTTTCTACTCAGCTCCCCACCCCAGATAGTAGCTTAGGGATCTCAGAAAACTCTTAAGAAGCTGTCCAAATGCGTTTTCAATGGGAACTCTGAGAAGATTCAACCCTCCCGCTGATCATTTCAATGGGAATGCCCTTTCTGTCCCCTCATTTTAGCATCTTGTGAGGCAGATTCCTCTGAGAGTGAGGGATAAGTTTAAGGGCCACTCAGGTGGACCTCCTTAACTTAGTAGGGAATTTGAGGACTTCCCCATAACTTGGTGTTCTCCAGACATGCTGGAGAGACTCTTCCACGATTGTCAACCAAGACCCCAACGGCCTTTCTGGATGGGTTGAGACGATGAATGTCCAACCCCTCCAAGTGGTCCACCTTCTCCCTCTGATGTAGATGCCTTTGCCGTCCTTGGTCTGGCCTGTCTGTCCATTATTGTGTTTTGATTTGATTTTTTACCCTGGGTAGGAGAAAATGTTGTTGAGACTTGGGGTGATCTTTCCAACCTCCATCCCGGGGGTTTCCCGTCCTGCAGGCAAAAATGTGGGAAGCTGCGTCAGAGGCTCATCAAATTCAGATGCCTGGTACGCATCTATATGAACCGCAGGAGGTACCTCAAGGTGAGTCTCTCTCTGGGGCGGGGGCTGCGTGCAAACTGAGGATATAGAAAGATGATTGGAGAGAGGGGGACCTTACCATAAATTGCTTCGGTCCCTTGGTGTCTACTCGGCATGGTGGATTTCATTCATTTCATTTCACTTATTGAATTTATAGGCCGCCACAGAAATGAAAAATATTAAAAAAGGATTAAAACAATAAGATACAACAAGATTAAGAAGAAAACACAACATGCACCCAATCAGAGGCGGGGCTGGACCTCAACCAAGAGGTCAACAGCCCCAGGCCTGCCGGAAAAGCCAGGTTTTCATAGCTTTACGGAAGGCGATGAGAGTGGGCAGGGCCCGGATCTCTGGGGGCAGCTCATTCCATAGGGCCAGAGCGGCAACAGAGAAGGCCCTACTCCGAGGCGTCGCCAGCCGGCATTGTCCAGCTGATGGCACTCGGAGAAGGCCCATCCTGTGCGTTCTTATTGGTCTTAGGGAGGTACGCGGCAGGAGACGGTCTCGTAGGTATCCGGGTCCTAGGCCATGTAGGGCTTTAAAGGTGATAAAAAGCACCTTGAATCGTGCTTGGAGACCAATGGGAAGCCAGTGCAGCTCACGGAGGATAGGTGTAGTATGGGTGTACCTTGGTACACCCAATATCGCTCACGCGGCTGCATTCTGGACTAATTGTAATCTCCGAATTCCCATGCTCTGTGATCAAGGAGAAGGCCCCAATTCCTGGGGAACATTCCCACATTCTTGGGGCCCTTTCCAAGGAAAGTACTCACTCTCTCCCTGCACTCAGGTGCTCTGGAATAATTGAATTGCCTTCTAGTGGAATTCTATTAATGGAGTGCGGTGCTTGTGTGACCTTGGAAATCTCACTCTGATTTCAGAGGAAGGATGAGGAGCGTCGAATTGCAGAACAGGAGAAGAAAAAGGCCGAGCAGGTAATTCCCTGGTGTTTCGGGATGAACTGGGGGGGCATGGGGGTCAGTCTGAAGACCTTCCTAAGCACACCTTTACTCCCAAGGCAAATCCATGGGGTCTTAATTCTTTTGAGGAGAACTTGGGCGGCAGAAACTTACCTTGATAACTTGCGTATGCAACTCTGAGCAAATTTGTCATTGGGATAATTAGACCCATTTTTTCTGGGTTCCACTAGGAACTGAGTCAACGAGAAGTGATGAAAATCGCAGACTTGGAAATCCCAGCTGACCTGGTCGGACTCTTAAACAGAGTGGCTGGTAAGCCATGATCCACTACAAACTAAGGGAACTAAGAGGGTGGCCATGTGGACTTCTCCAAGGATTCTAGAAGGCGGATCTTTGAGGTCCCACCAGGATAAAGTTTCCAGGAATTTGAGCAGCGGTGGGTTTCAACCGGTTCGCAGCGGTCCCCGCAAACCGGTTGGTCGGCGAACCCGGAAGTAAGTAACTTCCGGGAACGGCGAAGCACCCACCCTCCCGCCCGCGCTCCTTACTGGTCTTTGAAGGCTTCTGCGCTTCCACGCAGGCGCATGGCACATACAGGGCCTGCGCGATTCTCTGCGAGCAGGCACTAAGACACATGCGTAAACTGCACGCGTGCACGAGGACGACGCCGGCCCCATTCCAACCAAACTGGTCGGAACGGGATTAGCAACCCATCCCTGAATTGGAGGTTAATTCCTCCCCTGTACCACCAGTGGCAAGCTGAGTAGACCACAACATTTTGGCTGTCAGAAGGCACCAGACAGTGAATTGTTTACCCAGAGCTGCCACCCTTTTAGCTGTAGCCCTGTTGGTCTTCCTTTGCCAATGGAGCACTGGACAGGTACATTATAAGCACCGTTTCAAAACAAAACAAAGAAATTGCTTGGATGGATCTTAGCAATAGCAATAGCAATAGCAGTTAGACTTCTATACCGCTTCATAGGGCTTCCAGCCCTCTCTAAGCGTTTTACAGAGTCAGCATATATTGCCCCCACAGTCTGGGTCCTCATTTCACCCATCCTCGGAAGGATGGAAGGCTGAGTCAACCTTGAGCCGGTGAG